TTCTGCAGTCTGCAATATCGCTCAGATTTCAAAAGATGCTGTTTTTGCGGATGGTCAAAAACCAGTGCATACTTTCCGAAGATAGCAATATTTAAGGAGAAAGGTTTTCAACAAACCTCAATCCTCACTTTTTCGTGCTGGGTTGACCAGTAAAAGCAGAAAAAGGGACAATGTGGCATTAAATTACAATTTACATGAATGAAATACGATTTATGTAGATGGCAATCGTATTTATTTCAAGCGTGAAAGCAGATTATAAAATTGAAGCGCAAACATGTCGATAAGACGTAGCTGCATAATAAAGTTATAACGCTAATTGGAACACCTCAAAGGAATGAAATTCTGCATAATGCTACTAATAAGATAATGTGTGCATTTGAGGTGATGGAGGCGGCTTTCAGTCGAAGTTAGGAATTCTCCAATACGTACCTGGATAATTCAAATGAGCAATGACGCTGTTCCATGCTTGATTGCGACATTCAGAATGCCTATACTTGGGATCGCGAATGTCGAAAAGACAAGGATGAGAGCGAACTTCTTCGATCAAATTAGTGCCAAAAGATGGATCAGTTACTGTTACTTGCTAAAAACGTTTCATGCATGCAAACAATATTTCTGTGACACTAATGAATTTACGGGCACTCACTACATCGGGGTGTTCTTTTCTAGCGGGAGATTCTACAGACTGTCTGTCTATCATATGAGGATCCAGGAAAGATAAATGTTTGTAGTACTGCCAAGTAGATTGGTCGCCCTGGTATTTTACTTTTCGTTTCTCTTTCCCATACCTAAATTTAAATTAATAGGAGGGGATGTACGGCAGTTTATAAATTTAAGTTGCCCCAAAAAACAATAAAGAAAGGAAAAAGATTTTTAGCAAAGAAAAGAAGAGCGAGGAACTCTCACTTATCGCGGAGTTGCTTCCACCTAGCATACAATGTTCTTGAATCTCCATCAAAGCCAAGTACTTGTACAAGACGATTCCACACCTGTTATTAGTACATCAGCACTCAAAGAAAACAAAAAGAAAAGCAGACCTTTATCTTATACTCGGTACTGCGATACTGTCGATCGGTGGAGTCATACAAACAGCGGCTATGCTTCACTGCCTCAATGAGGCGCATATTAAAACTCGGTTCAATGTCATCGGTAAGCCGATAAGCAGAGGCGTTGCTAAGAAAAATTAAAGTGAAAATTGAATGTGGAAAGGCACAAACGATTGAAAGTGCTCAGCAGAACTACACACATT